AATGGCGGACCAGATGTACATCGGCAGCGTGTTGTCGCGGCCGGTGAGGAAGAAGGTCACCGGGATCTCGTCGAAGGAGAGGGTGAAGACCAGCAGCGAGGAGCCGATGATGGAGGTCCGGATGTTGGGCAGCGTGACCTTCCAGAACGTCCTGAGCGGGGTCACGCCGAGGTCGGCCGAGGCCTCGATGATGCGCCGGTCGAAGCGCTCGAGCCGCGCATAGACGCTGGTGATGACAATGGCGGCGAAGGCGGTGCCGTGGCCGATTATCACGGTGGTGAGACTCAGCTCGATGCCGAGCTGCGAGAAGAAGCTCAGCATCGAGACGCCCGTGATGATGCCCGGCAGTGTGATCGGAAGGATCACGAGGCGGCGGAACACGGTCTTGCCGGGGAAGTCGTAGCGGCTCAGCGCCAGCGCCGTCGGAATGCCGATCACGAGGCAGATCGCGAGCGCGCAGACCGCCACGATCAGGCTGTTCCCCACCGCCGCCAGCAGCTGCGGGTTGGTGAAGGCCTTGACGTACCACTGCAGCGTCCAATCGCCGAAGGGCAACCGCATGACCTTGTTGTCGTTGAAGCTGAAGATCATCAGTGTCGCGATGGGCACGTAGAGGAAGGCGAGGACGCACCCGGTGACGACGGCGAGCGCGCGATAGCTCAGGTCGCGGTCCGAGCGGCGGCGGCGGCGCGGGCGCTCGAGCGCCGCTCCGTTCGGCAGATCGCGGTCGAGGGTCGCCACGGCTAGCCCAGGTCCAACCGGCCGGCGCGCTCGAACCGGTCGGAGGCCGTGATCACCGCCAGCACGATGAAGAGCATGATCATGGAGAGCGCCGAGCCGAAGGGCCAATCCATGGCCTGCCCGAACTGCGTCGAGATCACGTTGGAGATCATGTTGGAGTAGGGCCCGCCCACCAGCCTGGGCGAGATGAAGTCGCCGAACGAGAAGCAGAAGGTAAGGTGAACCCGACCAGGATGCCCGGCACGGAGAGCGGCAGCGTGATGCGCAAGAACGTGCCGAGGCTGCCGACACCCAGATCCTTCGAACCCTCGATCAGGCTCCGTGGAATCTTTTCCAGCGTCGCGAAGAGCGGCATCACCATGAAGGGCGTGAAGATATACGCCATGGTGATCACCATGGCGTACTGGTTGTAGAGGAGCACTCCGATCGGCTCGTCCACCACGCCGATCCAGATGAGGAAGGTGTTCAGGATGCCCTCGGTGCCTAGCACGATCTTCCAGGTGTAGACGCGCAGCAGGTAGGAGACCCAGAGCGGGACAATGGTGGCCACGTAGATGATCGTCCTGAGCCTGGGCGAGCGCAGCTTGAACACCAGGAAGTAGGTCAGCGGATAGGCGAGGGCGAACGTAACGATCGAGACGAAGATCGAGATTTTCAGGCTGCGGAGAAGGATCGTGACGTACTGCGATTCGGCAAATATTTTCAAATAGTTGGCGACCTGGAAATCGGGGACGTGGAAGGGAAACTGGGTCCGGTAGAAGCTGATCATCAGCATGATCACGTAGGGCACCAGCAGGACCACGACCCACCAGATGAGCGGTGCCGAGACGAGGGCGGCGAATTCGAGCCGGCGACGCCGGACGTAGTTCATGCAGGGGGATCCGCCGACGCGTCGCCGGGGCCGATGAAGAGGATCACGCTCGCCGGGTCGAAGCCGAGAGAGACCGTGCCGCCCACCGGCGGCAGCGGCATCTGATGCAGCCCGGTCTCGAGCTGGCGGTGCACGATGAGCAGGCGCTCGGCACCGATATCGATGGCGAGCCTGACCGAATCGCCGTGGAAGAAGACATCGCGAAGCTGGCCGGAGAGGCTGTTGAAACCGGCCGGAAGCGCGCGCCCGTCGCCGAGCGCCACCTTCTCGGGCCGGATCGAGAGCGTGACCCGGAGCCCACCGCAGGCGCGGCACCCTGGAGCGCGACGCGGATATCGGCTGTGCCGCAGCTCACCTGCAGGGTGCCGTCTGCCATCCCGGTCACGACGCCTGCGACCATGTTGGAGGTGCCCAGAAAGTTGGCGACATAGGGCGTCTCAGGCCGGTCGTAGAGGTCGGTCGGCGATCCCGCCTGCACGATGCGGCCGGCATCCATCACCACGATGCGGTCGGACATCACCAGCGCCTCGGTCTGGTCGTGGGTTACCATCATGAAAGTAAGGCCGATCTGGTCGTGCAGGCGCTTCAACTCCACCTGCATCGATTCACGGAGCTTGGCGTCGAGCGCCGACAACGGCTCGTCGAGCAGCAGGATCTTCGGCGCCGGATCAGGGCACGCGCCAGCGCCACGCGCTGCTTCTGGCCGATGGAAAGCTCCGCCGGCCTGCGGTCGGCCTTGTCGAGCAGCTCGATCGTGTGGAGCGCCTCCTCCACCTCGCGCGCCGCCTCGCGCCGCTTCATGCCGGCGATGGTGAGGCCGTAGCCGATGTTCTGCGCGACCGTGAGATGCGGGAAGAGCGCGAAGTCCTGAAACATCATGTTGACCGGTCGCCGGTAAGGCGGAAGGTCGGTCACGTCGCGCCCGTCGAGCACGATGCGGCCCGCATCGGGAAACTCGAACCCGCCCACCATGCGGAGCGTCGTGGTCTTGCCGCAGCCGGAGGGCCCGAGGATGGTCAGGAACTCGCCTTCCTCGACGGCGAGCGTCACATCGTCCACGGCGCGCACGCCGCCGCGGAACGTCTTCGTGACGTTTTGGATTTCGAGGATGGCAGCCATCGCGCGCCGCTTCGTTTCGTGGGCAGGCGGAGCATACGCCAGATCGGGCGCAGCCTGAATTCGGGCCGGGGTGCCGTTTACGGGTCAGGCGGCGGCCTCTACACTTCCGCCAAACGCAGCCGGCATGGGGAGGCTCCGTGGCTAGTCGCTGGAACGACGGCCGCAGATTCGAAGGGCGGGTCGCCATCGTGACCGGCGCGAGCGGCGCATTGGGCGGCGCCTCCGCCCGCGCGCTAGCCCGTGAGGGGGCGAGTGTGGCGCTGGCCTATCGCAGCGGCGCCGACGCGGCCGCCGAGGCCGTGGACGAGATCGCGGCCGGCGGTGGCACGGCATACGCCGCCCCTCTCGACATCACCGACGAGCATTCGGTGCAGGCCTTCGTGGACGAGGCGGTGGCGCGCTATGGCGGCATCGACGTGCTGATCAACGCAGCGGGCCGGATCGACGCGGCGGACGCCGTCCGCTTTGCCGAGACGGACCCGCAAGCGTGGGATGCGCTCTTCGCGGTGGATGTGAAGGGCACGTTCCTCATGTGCCGCGCCGTCGTGCCGCACATGGAGGCGCGCGGCGGCGGCGCCATCGTCAACTTCGCGGGCTCCTACGGCAACGGCGTGAACCAGGAGAACATGGTGAACTCCGTCGCCGTCTCCTACTGCGCGGCGAAGGGCGCGGTGCGCGGCTTCACCGCCTCGCTCGCGCGCGACCTTGCGCCGCGCATCCGGGTCAACGCCGTCTCGCCGGGGCCGATCCAGGCCAACTGGGATGCCGACTGGGGCATCCCAGCCGAGCATATCGAGGAAGCCGTCAACATGACTCAGCTGAAGCGCATGGGCATGCCGCAGGAGATCGCGGAGACGGTGCTCTTCCTCGCCTCGGACGGCGCCGGCTACATCACAGGCCAGATGGTGCTCGCCGACGGCGGCTGGACACTGGCGGGTTAGGGAGAGCTGCAGTGTCACTGGAAGCGATCGATCTTGCCGCACTGATCCCCGCCGATCTGCCGGACGGCCGCGAGGCGGTCGCGGAAGGCCGTGCGTTGGGGCCGACCATCGAGCGCGCGACCTCGCTCTATTGCGAAGAGAAGGGCGTGGGCTCGGAGCGCGAGTGGCGCGAGAAGGCGCGGGCTGAGGGCATCCCGTGCACCTGCATGAATATCGGCCTCGCCACCTGGGACGACACCCGCGAGGCCATGGGCCTTATTTACGAAGACGCGCTCTCGCGCGGCGTGCGCCCGCCGGACCGCTTCAACCTGCTCGCCGAGCGGCGCATGGGGTTGCCGAAGGAGCTTCGCGCCCAGGCCCCGCAGGAGACGGGCCCCGCTCTCTGGACCGATCAGCACTGGTGGGAGATGACCCACACCGTGCCGATCCAGCCGGAGGCGGCCGACAACATGATCGGCGGGCCGGGCTCGGTCGACAATGTGGTGAACGCGCTCCAGGTCGGCATCACCTGCATCGGGGTGCTCAGCCAGTACTCCTGGCGCTGGCCCTACTGGGACGACGAGACGGCGCAACTGATGGCGGTGCTCAAGGCGGGCGGCGTGCTGGCATCGCTCCGCGACCAGGGGGTCGTGTTCGACTCATACCTGGAGGACGGCTATCCGGGCGTCTTCCACGACTACGCGAGCTACGTCGGCTGGGCGATGCTCGAGCGCTACGTCGCCGAAGATTTGATCGGCGCCGCCTATTCGAGCTCCTGGGGCGGTCTCACGCAGAACCCGATCATCAAGTCGGCGGTGACGCTCGCGCTGGACGCGGTGAACCCGAACCGCGTGCCGACCTCGTTCATTCAGGGCGACACGATCGGGTATTCGCGCGATTTCGACAGCAACATGGCCGTTCTCGTGAACGACCTGATGATGATGAAGATGACGGACCTGCGCTATCGCCTCGGCGGGGCGCCCATCGCCGTGCCGGTGACCGAGGTCGAGCGCATCCCCACCTGGCAGGAGGTCGCCACCGTCCAGACGGTGAGCCGCAAGTGCGAAGACTACCTGCCGATGATGGAGCCCTATGTGGACTGGGGCAAGATCGAGGCGCTCCGCGATGAGCTTGTGGCGGGCGGAAAGCGCTTCTTCCGGAACGCGCTGGATGCCATGGCGGAGATGGGCGTCGACGTGCAGGACCCCGCGCCCGTTCTGCTCCTGCTCAAGCGGCTCGGGCCTGAGACCTGCGAGGCGCTGTTCGGCGCCGGCGCGCCCGATGACTCGTATCTGCGTGGCCGCAGCCCGATCCTGCAGACCGATCTGGTCCGCGAGACCATGAAGCAGCGGGAGGCGCTTCTCGCCGGCCTCGCCGAGCGCGGCCCGGCCGATGGGTTGAAGGCGAAGAACGTCGTGGTTGCCTCCACCGACGTCCATGAGTTCGCGAAGTTCCTGCTCACCTCCACCCTCGATGCCGCCGGAAGCAACGTCATCGACTGCGGCATCAATCGCGATCCCGAAGACATCGTGAAGGTCGCGGTCGAGACCGCCGCCGACGCCGTCGTCATCACGACGCACAACGGCGTCGCCCGCAGCTACGGGACCAAGCTGATCGACGAGATGCGGGACGCGCGGCTGGATGCGCTCGTCTTCATGGGCGGCGTGCTGAACGAGGATATCGAAGGCTCCGACGTGCCGGTCGATGTGCGCCAGGATCTTGGCAATCTCGGCATTCGCACGCCGGGCTCGATCGACGACTTTGCTGGCCACGATGGAAGCAGAGTGCGGCGCGAAGCCGTGAATGCGATCGCGCTCGTCGATTTCGGAAGCACATTCACAAAGCTGACGATTACCGAAGCCGGGACAGGGCGCTTCTGGCTGCGGCGCAAGCGCCGACGACCGTCGAAACCGACGTGATGGAGGGCTACGGGACGCCCTCGACCGCGCCCTCGCCAGGTCCCCGGCAAGCCCAAGATCGTCCGCCGGCTCGCGGCGTCGAGCGCCGGCGGCGGCTTGCGGGTCGCGGCGATCGGCCTCGTGCCCGAATATACCGAGGCAGCGGCGCGGCAGGCCGCGCTCAACGCCGGCGCGCGCATCGTGCTGCGGCTCGCAGGCCGGCTCGACGAGCGCGCCGTGACTGCGCTCGAAGAGGCCAGCCCGAGATCGTGCTGTTCTCCGGCGGGACCGACGGCGGGCAGCGCGCGCAGGTCCTGGAGAATGCCGAGGCGATATCCGCTGCTCGTATCGAGAGCCGCATCGTCGTTGCCTGCAACCGCGATGTGGCCGCCGCCGTCGCCGACATGCTGGCGCCGACCAAGCGCGTCAGGACCGTCGCCAACGTGCTGCCGGCTATCGGCCGCCTCGACATCGAGCCCGCGCGTGCCGCGATCCACGACGAATTCATCCGCCATGTCATTCGCGGCAAGGGCCTGAGCCACGCCCAAGAGTTCCACGAGGCCGTCATCATGCCGACGCCCGAGGCGGTGCTGCGCGCGACACGGCTTCTGGCCACGGCGGCGACGGGGCGAGGGCCGCCGATGTCGTCGTGGTCGACCTCGGCGGGGCGACGACCGACGTTCACGCCGCCATCGCGCCTAAGCCTGCACCTGTCGGGATTCGCACGGCCGGCCTGCCGGCGCTCCCCCTCCGGCGCACCGTGGAGGGCGATCTCGGCATGCGCTGGAGCGCGCCCGGCGTTCTGGACGCGGACGGAGACTGGCTCGAGGCAGAGGGCCGTGCTGCCGGGAACACGCCCGAGCAGCTTGGGCACGCCTGTGCCCGGCGCCAACGGCAGCCGGATTATCTGCCGGACGGCCCGGACGAGGACCGCATCGACCGGGCGCTGGCGACCGCCTGCGTGACCCACGCGCTCCGGCGTCATTGCGGAATCCTCAGCACCGTCTATCTCCCCGGCCAGGGCACGGACTTCGTGCAGCGGGGCGCCGATCTTCGCGACGTCCCGCTCGTGATCGGCACCGGCGGCGTGCTCGGCCGCCATGCCGCGGGCGAAGCCGTGCTTCGCGCCGCGCTCGAACGCCGGGCGCCGGGCTCGCTGACGCCGCGGGCGCCTGCGCTTGCTCTCGACCGGCGCTATGTGCTCGCCGCCGCCGGCCTGCTCTCCACCGTGGACGAGAACGGTGCGCGTGCCCTGCTCGAAGATCAGAGGTTGATGGTCTAGCGCACTTCTCACCACGGGCACGGAACAGCACGCGTTAAGCCGAACAGATATCGAATGCGATTATACGATATGCCATATTATTCATGGTCGGCGAATTGACCGTTGCCCCCTTATGCTGGCAGCATGAGTGAGGCGACTCAGACGGTCCATCCTGTACGAGGACGCAGGATGTTTGACGGAAAGATGACGGCGGCGACAAAGCCCGCGGAGCAGACCACGGCCGACTCCGCGCCTCCGGCACGCCCCGGATGTGCCCGAGCTGCCGGACATGTCCGGCAGCTATGATCGCTATATCTCCTCGGGCCTCTACGACCGGCGCTACCCCCGCCCGAACCGGCGCACGCTGCGGAAAATGAAGCGGAGCCTGCCCGCCGGTGGGCGTTTTCTCGATGTCGGCGCAGGCACAGGGCGCTACACCCTGCCGCTCCTGCAAGTGACCGGGACGAGCGGCGTAGCCCTCGACATCTGTCCTGTCGCCCGCACGACATTGGCGGAGCGTCTCGGCGAATTCGTGCGCGCCGAAAGGCTGGCTATTCGGGGAGAGGACGCGGACGCGCTGGCTGCCGACCATCCGCAAGCCTTCGACCTGGCGCTTCTGGCCTTTGGGGTGCTCGCGCACGTCGCCGGGCGCGCCGAGAGACTGCGCCTGCTGCGAGCCATCCGCTCGATGCTGAAGGCGGACGGCACCCTGATCCTCAGCGTGCCGAACGCGAGGCGTCGGTTTCGCGCCGAACAGCGCAGCTCAGCCCCTCTGGTTGACGCGGGCAAACTCGAGCCCGGCGACATCCTCTACAAGCGCGGCCAGGACGATGGCGAAATCCAGCTGTTCTATCACCTCTATACGCTTGCCGAGGTGCGAGATGACCTTGCAGAGGCGGGCTTCCGGGTCACAAACGTTGGGGCCGAGAGCCTGCTGTCGGAGAGGACCGTCGTCAGCGATCCATTGACCGGCTGGCTAGACGCTGTGGCCTGCCGTATCGCGCCCGCGTCACTCGGCTACGACTTGCTGGCCGTCGCCAAGCTGCAGACCTCAGGTACTCCCTGATCGCACCCAGGCGGCGCACCGCGAGGAGCGAACAGGCCTGTCTCCTCGTGATCGGCAATCACGATTCAAGTCAAGCCATAAGCTCTCGTTATTCGAGAGCTAAGAAAACGGTATTGGCAATTATGCATGGTCAGCGCCATGTCATACACTGTCGGGTACGGCCCGGGCCGTGCCCGATCGGTTTCCACCGGCCAGCGCCACGCCCTGGCGTTACGGGAAATCGGACCACCCCGTCGCGGCCTCGCCGTGTCGGAGGTTATGGCCGGGCCGGGGCGGGTACGGATCCCTCCCTGTCCGTCGCGCCCGCCCCTTCGCCGCCGGCGTCGGCTCCTGCCGGCGCCGGCGGTCAGCCGGCTTGGCCTGGGGCTCTCAGCTCTCCGCGCCGGGCCGGATCGCCGGCATGGGATCGCTCAGAAACGCCGGCACGTGATCGCCGAGACCGGTGACACGCTCGCCCTCGCGTGGCGGCGCGCTCTGTTTGGCTGGCTTGCGAGCGCGACGACCCTCACTTGCCTCGGCGGCATCCCCGCCGCGCACACGCTCCCGCTTGGGCTTGCTCTCGGCGGCGTCCGCACCGCGCGACCGCTTGGGCGCGGGCCGCTTCTCCGCCGACGGCGGCTCCTCGCGGCGCCTGCTGCGGCCGCGGCGCGGGCGTGCGCGTTCGCGAGAGGCGGCATCGAGCGCAGCCGGTTCCCCGGCATACGTCGTGAGCGGGATCGCGCAGTTGACGAGCGCGGCGATGGCATCCACCGCCTCGGCTTCCTCGTGCGTGACGAGCGTGATCGCCCGCCCCTCGCGACCGGCCCGGCCGGTACGGCCGATGCGGTGGACATAGTCCTCGGGATTATACGGCACGTCGAAGTTGATGACGTGGGAGACGGCCTCGATGTCGAGGCCGCGCCCGGCCACGTCGCTGCAGACGAGGAAATTGACCTCGCCGCCCTTGAACGCCGCCAGCGTCTCGGTCCGGCGATACTGAACCATGTCGCCGTGCAGCGCGCGGACATTCAGGCCATGGCGGCCGAGCGAGGCGCTGACGATATCGACGTCCTTCTTCCGGTTACAGAAGATCAGCGCGCTCTGCACCGCCTCGTCTCGGAGCAGGTCACGCAGCACAGCGCGTTTTTCCGCCAGATCGAGCAGGATCATCGTGTGGCTCACGGTGCCTGCCACCGTGGCCGGCGGAGAGACGCTCACTTCCTTGGGGTTGATCAGAAACTCCTTGCCGAGCCTCTTGATCTCGGGCCCGAGGGTGGCGGAGAACATCAGCGTCTGGCGGATACGCGGCAGGGTCTGGACGATGCGCTCGACATCGGGGATGAAGCCCATGTCGAGCATGCGGTCGGCCTCGTCGATCACCAGAACCTTGACGCCGCCCAGCATGATCCGTCCGCGCTCGAACATGTCGATCAGGCGGCCGGGAGTCGCGATCAGAATATCCGGGTCCTTGCCGAGCGCGGCCTCCTGAAGCGAGAAGCCCTCGCCGCCGATTAACAGCGCCTGGCGCAGGCTGTGGTTGGTGCGTAACCGGCGAAGTTATCGGCAATCTGTTGCGCGAGCTCCCGCGTCGGCGCCAGGATCAGGCAGCGCGGCATGCGGGGCTTGCTCGTACCAGAGCTCAAAATGTCGATGATCGGCAGTGCATAGGACGCGGTCTTGCCCGTGCCGGTCTGGGCGCAGCCCAGCACGTCAACGCCCCGCAGGACAAGCGGGATGGCCTTTTGCTGGATCGGCGTCGGCACCTCGTACCCGGCCTCGGCAACGGCGGCGAGCAGCGGCTCGCTCAAGCCGAGGTCCGCGAATACCTCATTAAATTCCACTAGATTTCCTCCATCGCGGCGCTCACGCCGCACCCTGCGAGTCTTCGCGCGACAGCGAGGCCAAGGCGCCGGGATGGCACCCAGCCGCATATCGCGGGCCAATGGCGTGACGCAGGATTTGCTCCTTCACCGGCGGGGCGGCCGCAGAGCGGCCAGCGGAAAACCCGCCGTCGGACCCTAAGCGGGACGCGCGTGCGACGCGGCGTCCTCGGTCCGCGCCACTCGTACCCTTGCCAAGGGCCAGCGTCAATCGCCATCTGCTCGGGACGGAAGGATGCGCGCGTCCCGCGCACCCTTTTCGGTCGGAAATTTGTCAGCGGGATTGCGACTTGTGCGGGCACGCCGATGGCGTACTATCGCGGCGCACAGGGCACGGTGCAGGCGGGCGTAGCTCAGGGGTAGAGCACAACCTTGCCAAGGTTGGGGTCGTGGGTTCGAATCCCATCGCCCGCTCCAGCGCCCGGCCCGCGTGTCTTGCCATTCGCCGAGAGACGCCTGCGGCGCGCCAGGAGAAATCCGAGATGCGCGCGACTTGTCGACCGCAACTCATATCCACCCAACGGGACGCCGCCCGTGACTGCGCTCGTCACCCACCGGGGCGGCTGCCATTGCGGCGCTGTGCGCTTCAGCTGCGAAGCGCCGGCCGAGATTGAGGTGCAGCACTGCAACTGCTCCATCTGCCGGATGACTGTCTACCGTCATCTGGTGGTGCCGAAGTCACGCTTCAACCTGCTCTCGGGCGCCGACACGTTGACCAGCTACCGCTTCGGCACAGGCGTGGCAGAGCATCTTTCTGTGCGGTCTGCGGCGTAAAGTCCTTTTACTCGCCGCGCTCAGCGCCGGATTCATACAGCGTCAACGCGCTTTGCCTCGATCCGGGCACCGTGACGGACATGACGGTGATCGCGTTGGATGGCGCCGGCTGGGATCTCGACGACCCGGGCCCCGTGCCGCGAAGGTACCCTCAAACGGAGACGTGAGCGGCGGGCGGGCCGTCTCTAAATCGTCATGTGCTTGCGCACGATATCGTCGGTCAACGCGTCGATCGCTCCGCTCGCTGCGATCTCGCCTTTCTCGATAACGCAGAAATGCTGGGACGCCGCCCGCGCGAATTTCACGTTCTGCTCCACAAGAACGATCGTCAGGCCGATCTGTTTGTTGAGCCGCTGAATCGTGTCCTCGATCTGCTCGACGATGTTGGGCTGAATGCCCTCCGTGGGCTCATCGAGCAGCAGGATGCGGGGCTCGGACGCCAGTGCCCGTGCGATCGCCAGCTGCTGTTGCTGACCGCCCGATAACAGTCCCGCTCTGCGACCGAGGTTGTCGCGCAAATAGGGGAACAAGTCCCTGACCAGATCGGGCACCAGCCGCCTGCGGTCGGCGCGCGCGTAACATCCCATCAGAATGTTGTCGCGAATCGAAAAATCGGGAATGAGCTCCCGTCCTTGGGGCACGTAACCGATCCCGGCGCGGGCGCGAAGATAGGTCGGCCTGCCGGTGATATCCTTGCCGTCTAACGTGATCGTGCCGAGCGTGCGAACCTCAAGACCCAGAATGCTCTTGAGCAGCGTTGTCTTGCCGACGCCGTTCCGCCCCAAAATACTGACGATTTCGCCACCCTGAACCGAAAAGTCGATATCGCGCAAGACGTGGCTCGCGCCGTAGTAGGCATCCATTTGTGAAAGTTCAAGCATGGGTAATGCCGCCGCTGCCTAGATAAGCATCGATCACTGCCCGGTCATTTTCGATTTGTTCGACCGTCCCCTCCGCGAGCTTCTTTCCCAAATGCATGACGGTAATGATCTCGCAAATGGACCGTACGAAGGTCATGTCATGCTCGACGACAATGATGGAATGTTCGCTCTTGAGGCCGTTGATGATCTCGGAGGTCTTCTCCGTCTCGAGGGCCGTCATGCCCGCCGTAGGCTCGTCCAGCAGCACCAGTTTGGGCGATTGCACCAATACCATGCCGAGTTCGAGCCATTGGGATTGCCCGTGGGACAGGCTGCCGGCGAACGTGCCGCTCTCATCCGCAAGGCTGGTGAGCTCCATCGCGCCCTCGATCTGACGGTTTCGCTGGCGCGGCTTCGCGCTCACCGAGAGGTTCCGCCATACCGACAGGCTGCGGGTATGAGCCACCTCGAAGTTTTCGCGCACCGTCAAGTCCTTGAATACGCTCGGCACCTGGAATTTCCGGCCGATCCCTCGCCGCGCAATCTTGTGTTCCTGCCCATTGGTAATGTTGTCGCCCAAGAAGGTCACCTTCCCGCCGGTCGACTTGGTGCGGCCGGTGATGAGGTCCATGAGCGTCGTCTTGCCGGCGCCGTTAGCCCCGATCAGGACACGCAGCTCTCCTTCTTCTACGGCCATATCGAAGCCATCCACCGCGCGAAAGCCGCGGAAGTTCACCTCAAGGTTCTCGATCTCTAGAATCGCCGGCATGACGTACCGTTTCCCTCTTCGATCTCCGAACCTTCCAGCACCGGTTCTCGCCTTGCGGGCCTTCGCCTCACCTGACTCGTCGTTCCCTGACCGCTTTGTGGAGCCGTGCCAGCGCCAAGTCCGCCACTGCTTGGATGAAGCCCGCGAGCCCGCGCGGCATCACCAGAACGACGAACAGGAAGATCGCGCCGATGATGAGCTGCCAAGCCTCCACCAGCATTTCCGTTTCGCTGACCGTGGCTTCGACCACGTTCAACAGGATCGCGCCGATGCACGCGCCCAACAGTGACCAGCGGCCGCCGACGGCAGCCCACACCACCATCGAAATACTGAAGCCGATATTCATGTAGGTGGGCGAGGCAAACTCGGCCGCAATCACATAAAGCATGCCGGCCAAGCCCGCGATTGCCGCAGAGATACAGAAGAAGAACACCTTGTAGATGGCGACGTCGTAACCGAGATAGCGCACGCGCTCTTCGTTGTCGCGGATGGCCTGCAGCACGACGCCCACCTTCGTGTTGACCAGCCAGCGTGCGCCGATCAACACCAGGCAAGTGATGACCGCGATCAGATAATAGGTCTCCACCAGATAGGGATCGAACTCCAGGCCGCCGACCGTGAACCAGCCGAGATCGGTCAGTCCGTTGAAACCGTTAATGAGCGGTGCGCGTCGATAACAAGGAGGCGCACCAGCAGGCACAAGGCGAGCGTTAGAATCGCCACATAGACACCCGCAATCCGGGCGCGGAACATCGCGTAACCCAGAACGAAGGCGATGAGGGTGGGCATGACCAACCCCATGGCCACGCCGAACCACTGTTCCTTGAAGGGAATCCAAAGGAACGAACCCTGGTTGATGCAGCAGAGGTCGATGGGCGCGCCCGGTTCCGACGTCCACAGCATGAAGTCGGGAACCGGCTCGTCCGCCGATCCCTGTTGCAGGCTCGTCGGGCTCGCGAGCTTCAACGACATCGCCAGCATGTAGGCGCCGAAGCCGAAGAAGAGGCCCTGACCGAGATTGAGGATTCCGGCGTAGCCCCAGGACATGCTGATGGCGATGCCGAGCATGCCGAACACCAGATACTTGGACATCCGGTTGAGCCAGAAGACGTCCATGAAGAGCGGGAGAAGCATGACGACGACGATGAACAGACCGTACGCGGCGAGCTGCAGGTTGTTCCGGGTCAAGAGCTGCATCGTCAACGCCCCCGACGGGAGAACAAGCCCTGGGGCCGCAGGATGATGACCACGATGATGACACCGAACACGATTGCCCGCGCGAGGACGTCATTCAGCAGGCTCGCGACCCAGCCCTGGACCTCGCCCAGGATCACGGCCGAGCCGAGCGTGCCGAAGAGGCTGCCCACGCCGCCCATGACCACGACCAGGAAGCCGTCGATCACGAACGGCGTTCCCATGCTGGGCGAGACCGTCTTGAAGCCGGCCAGCATCACGCCGGCCGCGCCGGCCAGCGCGGAGCCGTAGGCGAAGGTCCACGCGTTGATCTTCTTGTCGTCGATGCCGCAGCAGGACGCGATGCCCCGATTGCGCGACACCGCGCGCAACTGCATGCCGAAAGAGGTATGGAAGATCAGCCACCAGGTCAGAATGAACAGCCCGATCGTGAGGACGATGATGAAGCTCCGGTAGGGCTGGACCACGAAGTCGCCGACCAGAAATGTTTCCCGGAAGAACGAGGGGACCGGGACATTCTGCAGACCCGGCCCCAGACCATCGATATGCAATCCCGCGAACGCGGCGCCGAATTCGAGGCGAATGGCCTGCTGGATGATGATCGCAAGCGCCCATGTCGCGAGCAACGTATCCAACAGGCGGCCGTACAGTCTTCGCACCACAAAGCGCTCGATGGCGTAGCCGAATGCACCGGTAACGACGAAGGCGACCGGGATGCACAGGAGAAAATGCAGGCCGAAATGGGTTTGGCAGAGAACGGTGACGTAGGCGCCGATCATGACGAGCTCGCCATGCGCCATATTGATGACACCCATGGTGCCGTAGGTGATGGCGAGCCCGAGAGCGACCAACAGCAGAATGGACGAAAGACTAAGTCCGATGAAAATTACGTCGGCCATTCTATGTGAGCCGTTCCGGTTCGGACGATGCGTGACTCCAGCCTGACGGGAGCCGGCGTGAAGACGCCGGCCCCCGTTCCGTCAACGGTTAGGTCTTGAGCTTGCTGGAATCCAGGCCCGCTTGCGTGCAGAAGAGATTGTCGGGCGCTTCCCCATACGCCGAGTAGGGGAGCGGAATCAGCGGCTCCTTGTACTCGTCGACGATCTCGGCCTGGCCGTCGGAGCGCCACACCCCGATACGCGGTGTCAGCCAGCAATGCAGGTTCTCGGGCTCGATTCTCACGCGCCCTTCCGGTGCATCGACCTCTTGTCCCTTGGCCGCTTCGCGAACCGAGAGAGGATCGACCTCGCCTGCCTTCTCCACCGACTGCGCCCACAGGAATACCTGGAAATAGGCGCATTCCATGGCGTGATAGGTGACGGTATCGGCGCCCATCGTCCCCTTCACGTCTTCCACGAACTGCTCGTTTGCCGGGTTGCTCACCGACTGGAAATAGGGGAAGGAAGTGACACTGCCAGCGGCGTAATCGGGCCCCATCGCCTGCACTTCAATTTCCGAGCATACGGTGGCAAAGATCGGGAACTTGTCGTAGCTCAGACCCTGATTGATGAACTCGCGACGGAAGGCGACGATCGAGTCGCCGACGACATTGGAGTAGACGCAGTCGCACTCGCCGCTTTCCCACATGGTCTTCATCTTGTTGACCATGGAGCCCCATTCGCTGTGACCGAGTTCAAGGTACTCGTCGGCCACCCAGGAGCCGCCTTCTCTCTCCACCAGGATCTTGCAGACCTTCGCCATTTCACGCGGGTAGATGTAGTTCGACCCGACAATGAAGAACTTGTTGTAGCCCTGGTTTGTAATCCAAGGAACGAAGTTCTCTTGTTGCTGGTTGGGAACAGCGCCCGTGTATATGACGTTCTTCGAGCACTCAAACCCTTCGTAGAAGGTGGGATACCAATACAGATTCTTGCGTTTCTCGAACACCGGCAATACTGCCTTGCGGCTCGCCGAGGTGTAGGAACCAAAGACAGACGGCACCCGGTCCCGCACAACGAGCTTGTTGGCCTTCTCGTTGAACGTGCGAGGGTCGGAAGCCGGGTCTTCGATGATCGGCACCACCTTCTTGCCGAGTACACACCGCGCGCATTGATTTGGTCGATGGCCATCTCGGTAACTTTACTCAACTGTTTCTCAACGATCGCCGTCGTACCCGTCAGCGAGTAAAGAACGCCGACCTCGATCTCGTCGTCGTCGGCCCAGGCATACTGATAGTCCTTCACCCAGACATGCGGGAACGTGGTTAGTCCGGCGGCACCGAGTGCGATACCCGATTTCTTCAAGAAGTCTCGACGTTTCATAGCTCCCTCCTCTCCCTGATTTGCGCAAGCACATAGGGCGATCTACGGTTGTCGTTGTGTGATTGGTGACCGGCATCTGGCCGGCTTTCAGCGCGGCCGAAAAGGTGGGGTGGACAAACAAGATCGAACGGAGTGAACCCACCTCTTTCTCCCTGGCGGTCTGCGCAGACACTGCCGGTTTCACCCTCGATCCTAAAGCAGAGAACGGGGTGCCTCACGGCATGCCGCCTAGACGCGTCAAAAGTATCGTATGGGCGCCCATACGCAGCGTCAAGGAGCAGCGGTCCCGTTACACCAGCCCGAATCGATATGTTCGATAGAAGAAGGGTCCCAACGGACCGTCGGACGAAAGACTCGGGACGGAGGCGACGCTGCCCGTCCCGGCCAGGTCGCTTCGGACGGTTGGGAGAGCGGCCTTACACGCGCTTTATCCGCACCTCGATTGCGTCCCAGATCAGGGCTTCGAGGCGAGTGCCATCCAGCCGGTTGATCTCCTGGATGCCGGTGGGCGAGGTGACGTTGATTTCCGTAAGATAACCGCCGATCACGTCGATCCCGGTGAAGATCAGGCCGCGCTCTCTGAGCGCAGGCCCGATGGCCGCGCAAATCTCGCGATCGCGATCGCTCAGCGCGGTCCTGTCCGGACGGGCGCCGACATGCATGTTGGCGCGCGCCTCACCGGCGGCCGGCACGCGGTTCACGGCGCCGACCGGCTCGCCTTCCACCAGGATGATGCGCTTGTCGCCGGCCCGGACCGCCGGCAGATAGGCTGGCGATGATCGGCTCGCGAAAGAACGTGCCGAACATCTCGATCAAGGCGTTGAGGTTCTCGTCCTCGGGCCCCACGTGGAACACGCCCGCGCCGCCATTGCCGAAGAGCGGTTTGAGGATGATGTCGCCATGCTGGGCGCGGAATTCGACGATCATGTCGCGCTCGGCGGTGATGAGCGTCGGCGGCATCAGCTCGGGAAACCGGGTGACGAAGAGCTTTTCGGGCGCGTTCCGCACATGGACGGGGTCGTTGACCACGAGCGTCTCGGGGTGGATGTGCTCCAGGATGTGGGTGGCCGTGATGTAGGCCATGTCGAAGGGCGGGTCCTGGCGCATGAGGACGATGTCCATGGAGGCCAGATCGACGGTCTCTGGCGCGCCGAGGGTGAAGTGATCGCCGCTCTTCCGGCGCACCTCGAGGGGGCGCACGGTTGCCACCGCACCGGCCGCCGTCAGCGAGAGCTGTTGCGGCAGATAGTGATACAGCCGATGGCCGCGGGCCTGGGCTTCGAGCGCGAGCACGAAGGTGCTGTCGGCCTCGATGTCGATGGCGTCGATGGGGTCCATCTGAATGGCCACGGCGAGACTCATGTCATGGATCCCCTGCGCCCTTCGAACTCAATGGAGGCTGGTCGTCAGCGATGCAAGCGCGGCCTCGACACGCGAGCGCGCGGCTTCGGGAAGCGGGCAGGCGAGGCTTCGCTCCAGCGCTTCGACCGCACCCTTGATGGTCCCGAGCCGCGCGCGCACCATGCCGAGCTCGTGCCAGAGGCCGCCGGCCTCGGGAGCGATCAGCAGCATACGCTCCAGGATCGCGGCGCCACGCGCGCCGTCGCTGGCCTGGAGCGCGCGGGATTTGATGTTGTTCTGAAGCCTGAGCAGGATCGCCCTGTTGCCGACCGGCGCGTAGTGGCTCGGTTCCAGCTCCGCATCGGCACCCCGGAACTGCTTAAGCAGGCCGCGCAGGTGATCGGCTTCCAGCAACTGGCCCCAATGGAAGGGATCGACGATGACCCGGCGGTCGCCTTCGTCCATACGCACCAGGAAATGACCGGGGAAGGCTAGCCCGTCCACCACCCAGCCCTGCGCCCGGGCAGCCTGGATATAGAGGATGCCGAGGCTGACCGGCAGGCCCACCTTGCGGTCGATGACCTGAAGCAGGTTCGCATTCTCGGGCGCATCGTAGGTCTCGGCATCGCCGGCGTAGCCATGCGCGTCGTACAGTACGGCATTGAGGTGACGGCGGCGGCGCTCCAGCGGCTCGCCGGCCCTGGCGAGCGCTGCCACGTCTCCTGCCAGACGCTCGACATGATCCCGGTAGCGCTCGAGCGACACGCTCGGCATGTCGAGAGCGCCGAGCAGCAGCGCCGCATCGGCCAGGTCGATCTCTTCGTCCGCGAGGGTACCGACGGCGCGGAGCGCACGCTCGATCATCTCGGCGGCCATCAGGGTCGCGCCGGTCGGCGCGGATCGTCCTTCATGACCACGTGGCTCACGACGCCCTTCACGCCACCGATGCTGCTGGCGTGCTCCTCGACCCTCTTCAGCTCGTCTTCGCTTTGCGCGATCCCCAAGAGATAGACCGTGCCGTTGACGGTCTCGACGTCATAGTTGATCGACAGGATATCGAAATCGAGGAGGAGCTTGGCGTCGACCTGCAGCGATATCCACCTGTCCCGCGCGTAGTTCAGGATTCCGCTCTCGGCGGTCACCTGCATCTCGTTGATGACCTCGCTAATGCCGGTGGCCTGCCGGGCGACCCAACTCGCGCGGTGCGGTCCTCGTGTGTCGGCACGCTGCCCTTGAGCAGGACACGGCCCTCAACCACGCTGAACGACACGTCCTGATAGAGCGCGAGATCGTCCTGGAAGAAGAGGTGGTTGAGCTCCGCCTGAATGCCCAGATCTTCGACTGCGTCGCCGAGCGTGCGTTCCTCGGCCATCGCGAGGCTCGTTGTGGTGACCGCGCTGATGACGAACTCCGCACAGCCGGTGAGGCTGAGGGGACCCGCCAGCAAGAGGGCGAGCGCGGCGGCCGGTCCGGCGCATCGCCACAGACAAGGGCGCCGTCCGCCCGTGAGACGTGTGCGTGCAATCGTCGCACCGCCCGTCAAGGCGTCACCGGGCGACGCCGGTCGTCCTTCAGGACGACATGGCTCACGACACGCTTCACATCCTCGATGCCACGGGCATGCTCGATCACCCGCACGAGCTCTGCCTCGTCCTGCGCGATTCCGATGAGGTAGACCGTGCCGTTGACGGTTTCGACGCTGTAGTTGATGGAGAGGACATCGCCGTCCACGAGGAGCCTGCCCTTGAGCTGCGCCGAAATCCAGGTGTCCCGCGCGTAGTCCAGAATCCCGCCCTCGTCGGTCACCTGCAGCTCGTTGATCACCTCGCGAACGCCGACGGCCTGCCACGCAACCCTGAGGGCGTGAATGCGAGCTTCGAGCGTGGGCACGCTGCCCTTGAGCAGGACACGGCCCTCGAACACGCTGAACGACACATCCTGATAGAGCTCGACGTCGTCCTGGAAGAAGAGGTGGTTGAGCTCCGCCCGAATGGTCAGATCGTCGACCGCGTCGCCGATCGATCGCTCTTCCGCGACTGCGATGCCTGTCGTCGCGGCCGCGCCGACGAGCAGCTCTGCGCATCCGGAGAGCATGAGAGAGCCGGTCAACAGGAGGGAAAGCGCGGCGAATAGCCCTGTCCGCCGGCCCGGGTGCCGGCCCAATAGCGTCAGATTACGGCCCCGCTTCGGTCGGGACGCCACGCGTCCGGCAAGTGGCACGGCCATCGCCAGGGGGTCACCACCATCAGATCGAATCGGAACGAAAGCTTGCGCCAATTCGGATGACGCGACAAGAAAATGGTCGCTGCATTCTCGATGCGCCGCCGCTGATGCGCGGAAATTGCCTCAAGAACGCCCCGGCGATCGTTGCGGTGCTTTACTTCGATGAAGGCGATCAGCGCGCCACGTTTGGCGACGATGTCGAGCTCGCCGGCGGGAGTCGCATAGCGTCGCGCCAGGATGCGCCAGCCGGTGAGCCGGAGTCGCAGTGTGCAGAGCCGCTCCGCCGCGAGGCCCCGCTCATGAGCGGCCCGCCGCGCCGCTAGGGATCGAGCGCGCATCCCTTGCCCGGCCGTGCCCGTGAGCGTGCCAGCGCACGGGCATAGAGTTCACGGCGCGGCCGACCGGTCTCGGCGCTGAGCGTCGTCGCCGCATCGCGGACGGTACCCGTGGCGAGCAGGCTGTCGAGGCGGCCGTCGATTTCCGCGTCGGAGAGTGCGGGCCGCGCCGAGTCGCCCCGGTCGCCGCCCACGACGACGACGACCTCGCCCTTGGGCGCGCCGGCGCCGGCGTAGTGAGCGGCAAGCTGGTCGAGCGTTGCGCGCCGCATCTCCTCGTGCAGCTTGGTGAGCTCGCGTGCCACCGCAGCCGGGCGCGGGCCGAACGCCTCCGCCATATCTGCCAGCGACACGGCCAGCCGGCGGGGCGATTCGAAGAACACCAACGTAGCGTCGAGCGATTTGAGCACGGCGAGCGCCTCCCGCCGCGGGCCCGCCTTCGGCGGCAGGAATCCACCGAAATAGAAGCGATCGGTCGGCAAACCGGAGAGGATGAGAGCCAGCAGCGGGGCGCTCGGGCCGGGGCAGCCGGTCACGCGAATGCCCGCATCGAGCGCGGCACGCACAAGCTTGTAGCCGGGGTCCGAGATCAGCGGTGTGCCCGCGTCGGAAACCAGGGCCATCGAGCCGCCGCCTTCCAGCATGCGGATCAGCGTCGGGCGAACCCGCGCCGCGTTGTGCTCGTGGTAGGAGACGAGACGGGTGCGATGCCGTGGCGGGCGAGGAGCCGCCCGGTGCGGCGGGTATCCTCGCAGGCGATGCGGTCGACGGACGCGAGCACCGCGAGCGCACGCTGCGAGATGTCCTCCAGATTGCCGATCGGCGTCGCCACCAGCCAGAGGCCCGGCGCCGCGCCCGGCTGCGGTTTACTCACGGCCCTGTCGTCCTTACTCTGTCCCGCGCCTGCGGGCGTCGCAGGAGCTTCCTCGGGCATGGATCGACCTCGCACCCTCTCCGCAGCCGGCCGGAGCCGGCGGATCGGACCGGCAGGCGCCGCTCTGCTGCTGATCCTTCTCGCGGGCGCCTGCGCTGCGCCGAGCGTACCGCCGCCGCCGGCCGAGGGCCAGCCACCGCCTACCTCGACGGCGCAAGCCGCGGCCGCAGCGACCGAGCGCCCGGCACCGGAGGCAGCAGCACCGGAGCGGGAGGACGAGACACTCTCAGCCCTCTCTGCGGACGAATCGGATGCGACCCCGGCTGCACGCGAGCCTGCCGCGGGCGAGGACGACGCGGCGGTAGCACCCGAAGCGACGCTACCCTCTGCCAGGGTGGGCCTCCTCCTGCCGCTCTCCGGCCGCTACGCATCGGAAGGAGAGACGCTGCTCCGCGCGGCACAGCTCGCCCTCTTCGACACGGCCGACGAGCGCTTCCTCTTGTTGCCGCGGGATACGGAAGGCACGGCGAAGGGCGCGGAGAGAGCCGCGCTCGCGCTGCTCGAAGACGGCGTCGATCTGATCCTGGGCCCGTTGTTCGCCGAAGGGGTGAACGCCGTCGCCAGCCACGCCCGGGCGCGGAACGTCACCGTGGTCGCCTTCTCGACCGACCGGGCGGCGGCGAGCGAAGGGGTCTATCTCCTGGGCCACACGCCGCGCGCTCAGATCAGACGGGTCTTCGCCCACGCAGCGGCGAACGGCCACCGGCGGATCGCCCTGCTGGTGCCGGATACGCGCTACGGCTGCGGCAGTGTCGGACGAAGCCTGGGCGGCCGCGGCGTCCACGGGCCTCTCGCTCACGCGGGTCCGCACCTACGCGCCGGATGCCTCCGATGCCGCCGAGGTGGTGCGCGAACTCGCCGAGTACGACCGGCGCGCCCGGGCGCTGAAGGACGAGAGACGGGCGCTCGCCCGCCAGAACGATGCCGCCGCGCGCCGCCGGCTGAAGCGCCTTGCGACGCTCGACACGTTGGGCACGCTGCCCTTCGATGCCGTGCTGCTCGCCGATGGCGGCGCCCGGCTGCGGCAGGTCGCGCCGTTGCTCCCCTACTACGATATCGACCCTGCCAAGATCCGCGTGCTCGGAACCGGCCTCTGGGAAGACCCGGCCACGCTCGGCGAGGCGGCGCTTTCGGGCGGCTGGTTTGCAGGCCCCGACCCGGCGGCACGGCAAGACTTCGTGGATCGCTACCGCCGGGTCTTCGGCGAACCCCCGGGCGCGATCGCCACCCTTTGCCTATGACGCGACCGCGCTGGCGGCTGCGCTCGCGCGCGCAGGCGCCTCGTTCGAGCAGCAGGCCATTGGAAACCGCGGCGGCTTCCTCGGCGCGGACGGGTTGTTTCGCTTCGACGACGAGGGAATCGCGGAACGGGGCCTCGCCATCTTCGAGGTCGCCGGCGGCGGCAAGACCGTGGTCGTAAGCCCCGCGCCCACGCGCTTCGACACCGGCGCAGGCGATGCGGACGGCGGCTGAGGTTCGCCGCCGCTCCTACAAAATCTGGCTCAGGAACAGCTTGGTGCGGTCGGACTGCGGGTTGTTGAAGAACTCGTCCGGCGTGTTCTGCTCGACGATCTGGCCCGCGTCCATGAAGATCACGCGGTTGGCGACCTGCTCGGCGAAGCCCATCTCGTGGGTGACGACGAGCATGGTCATGCCGCTCTCAGCGAGGTCGACCATGACCTCGAGCACCTCCTTGATCATCTCGGGATCGAGTGCCGAGGTGGGCTCGTCGAACAGCATGATGTTGGGCTTCATGCAAAGCGAGCGGGCGATCGCCACACGCTGCTGCTGACCGCCGGAGAGCTGGCCGGGGTACTTCATGGCCTGCTCCGGGATCTTGACCCGCTCCAGATATTGCATGCCGAGTTGCTGCGCCTCGGCCTTGGGCATCTTGCGCACCCAGATCGGCGCGAGGGTGCAGTTTTCCAGCACTGTCAGGTGCGGGAACAGGTTGAACTGCTGGAATACCATGCCGACTTCGCGGCGAACCGCGTCGATGTTCTTGAGATTGTGGGTGAGCGCGACACCGTCGACGACCACCGTGCCTTCCTGATGCTCCTCCAACCTGTTGATGCAGCGGATCAGCGTCGACTTGCCCGAGCCCGACGGCCCGCAGATGACGATGCGCTCGCGCCGTTCCACCGTAAGGTCGATGTCGCGCAGCGCGTGGAACTGGCCGAACCACTTGTTGAGGCCGGTGATCTCGATGATCGGGTCTTCGGCGCCGCCCGGTGCGGCTTCCGGCTCCGCCATGGTGCCCCCCTAGCGTCGCGTGGTGTCCAGGCGCTTCTCGAGATTGAGCGAGTAGCGCGACATGCTGAAGCAGATCACGAAGAAGAACAGCGCCGCCAGCAGGAAGGTCTCGTAGTCGACCTTGCCCAGCCAGTCCGGATTGGTCTGGAGGAGGCGCGCCTGACCGAGGATGTCGAACAGGCCGATGATGATGACCAGCGTGGTGTCCTTGAACAGGCCGATGAAGGTGTTGACGATGCCCGGGATGGAAATCTTGAGCGCCTGCGGCAGGATAATGAGCCGCATCGACTGCCAGTAGCCGAGCCCCATCGCCTGGCCGGCTTCGAATTGCCCTTGCGGGATCGCCTGCAGCCCGCCGCGGATCACCTCAGCCATGTAGGCGGAGGCGAACACCGTGATGATGATCATCACGCGAACGAGCTGATCGAGCGAGACCTGGGGCGGCAGGAACAGCGGCAGCAGGATGATCGCGACGAAGAGTAGCGTGATCAGCGGCACGCCGCGGATGAACTCGATGAACCCGACCGAGAACACCCGGACGATCGGCATCCGCGAACGGCGGCCGAGCGCCAGCAGGATGCCGATGGGCAGCGAGAGCACGATCCCCGTGATGCCGGCGATGAGGTTGAGCATGAAGCCGCCGAACTGGTCGGTGCGGACGACCTCGAGGCCAAGGCCGCCGACCAGCAGGAAGGCCGCGATCACGGGGTACGCGAGCGAGAACCAGCGCCCGTAGCGGACGTAGGGCAGCTTGGCGAACAGCAGATAGGCGAGCGCCGGCACCAGCAGGACGAGGCAGACATGCACGCGCCAATAGGCATCGGGCGGGTAGAAGCCGTAGAAGAAATGGGTGATGCGCTGGTCGAGCCAGGCCCAGCACGCGCCTTTGCTGGGGCAGTCCTTGCCGATCTCACCGGTCAAGGTGGCGTCGATGAAGGCCCAGTCGATCAGACCCGGCAAAACCAGCGCGAGCACGGCGATCGACGCGATCGTGAGCGCCGCGCTCAGGTAGCTCGAAAAGAGGTTGGCCCGCATCCAGCCGATAACGCCTGTGCTGGTAATCGGCGCCGGCCGCTCCGGCAGCATCTCCGCCTGGCTGCGATGGAAGGCGTACTTGCTCATCGTTCCACCAGGGCGATGCGCTTGTTGTACCAGTTCATGAACGAGGACGTGAGCAGGCTCAGCACCAGATAGAACGCCATGTAGAGGGAGATCACCTCGATCGCCTGGCCGCTCTGGTTGAGGATGGTATCGCCGATCGAGACGATGTCCTGATAGCCGATGGCGACGGCGAGCGAGGAGTTCTTGGTCAGGTTGAGGTACTGGCTGGTCATCGGCGGAATGATCACCCGCAGCGCCTGCGGCAGGATGATCTTGCGCATGGTCAGCCCGCGCCTGAGCCCGAGCGCGCCGGCGGCCTCGACTGCCCCTTGGAGACCGAGAGAATCCCGCCGCGCACGATTTCGGAGATGAAGGCGCCGGTATAGGTAGAGAGCGCCAGCCAGAGCGCCACCAGCTCCGGCGTGATGTTGAAGCCGCCCTTCAGGTTGAAGCGCTGCCTCTCCGGTAGGTCGAAGTCGAGCGGCTGGCCGGCGGCGAAATAGACGATCACGGGGATACCCACGATCAGCCCGAGCCCGACCCAGCCGACCGGGAAGATCTGCCCCGTGGCATCCTGACGCTTCCGGGCCCAGCGCCTGACCAGAACGGTCGCCACCACGCCGACCAGAATCATCGCCAGCACGATCGCCGAGCCGTCCTCGAAGATCGGCGAGGGCAAGAACAGGCCGCGGTTATTCAGAAAGGCCGCGTCGCCGATCGAAACGCTGTCGCGCACCCTGGGTAGCGCCAGCATGATCAGCCACCAGAAGATGATCTGCAGCAGGACCGGGACGTTGCGGGTGAACTCGACCCAGACCACCACGATGCGGCTCACCAGGAAGTTGTTGGAGAGCCTGAGGACGCCCGCCACGAAGCCGATGACGGTCGCCGCGACGACTCCCATCACGGCGACGAGAACCGTGTTGAGCGCACCGATGACGAACGCCTGCCCGTAGGTCGAGGTGGACGCGTAATCGACGAGGCGCTGATTGATATCGAAGTTGGCGGTGTCGAAGAGGAAGCCGTAGCCGGAGGAGAGGCCGGCTTCTCTAAGGTTCGTGATCGTGTTCGAAACGATGAAGGCGGCGAAACCCGCCAGCCCGAACACGATGAGAACCTGGAATATGACGCCGCGGGCGCGCTCGTCGGTCCAAGCGCGGCTTATGTCGAAGCCGCCACCACGTGGGGGCGCTCTCTTGGTCACGGTGGCGCCGCCCCCCTTACGTTATCGGAATAACATCTTTGTCGGAACGGACGCCCTCTACCAGAAAATACAGCCGTCCCGCCCGACACCTCGGGCGAGACGGCGCGTCGTCGATGCTAACGGATCGGAGGCGAATAGAGGATGCCGCCGTCGGTGTAGAGGGCGTTGAGACCCCGGCCCAGGCCCAGCGGGCTGCTGGCGCCGATATAGCGATCGAAGATCTCGGCGTAGTTGCCTTCCGCCGCGATGGCGTGGGCCGCCCACTGCGCGTCGAGACCCAGCATCTCGCCCATCGAGCCTTCGGTCCCCAGCATCCGGTTGATCTCAGGATGATTGCCCGGCGCGGCAGCCATGTCCGCCACGTTCGCCTGGGTCACGCCGAGCTCTTCCGCCGTGATCAGCGCGTTCAGCACCCAGCGCGCGATGTCCGCCCACTTGTCGTCGCCGTGGCGCACCAACGGCCCCAGCGGCTCCTTCGAGATGATCTCCGGGAACACCATGTGCACGGACGGATCTTCGAAGGTGGTCCGTGTCGCCGCCAGACCGGAGGCGTCCGTCGTATAAACGTCGCAACGCTCCGCCTCGTAGGCCGCGCGGGCCTCGGCGTTGGTCTCGATCGGCACCGGCTCGTAGGTGATGCCGTTGACGCGGAAGAAGTCCGCGAGGTTGAGCTCCGTGGTCGTGCCGGTCTGGATGCAGACCGAAGAGCCGTCGAGCTCGGTGGCGCTGCTAATGCCGAGCGCCGTGCGGCCGATGAAGCCCTGGCCGTCATAGTAGCTGACGCCGATGAAGGTGAAGCCGAGGTCGACATCACGCGACAAGGTCCAGGTCGTGTTTCGCGACAGCACGTCGATCTCGCCCGATGCCAGCGCCGGGAAGCGCGTCTTGCCGGTCAGATTGATGAAGGAAATCGCGTTGGCGTCGCCGAGAACGGCGGCCGCCACCGCCCGGCAGTAGGCCACGTCGAAGCCGGTCCAATTGCCCGCGTCGTCGGTGTAGGCAAAGCCCGGCAGGCCGGTGTTGATGCCGCACTTGAGCGTGCCTGCGGCCTTCACGTCGTCGAGTGTTGCTGCCTGGCCCGGAATCGCGCCCGCTGCCACCAGCGCGCCGGCCACCGCAATGGCGCCGGCAATGTTTTTCAAGCTCATCCCCGTCCTCCAGTTCCAGGTGCAGATCCTACGCCCGCCCGCCTTGCGTGGCTTGTCGGTGTACGGGGGCAGGAGATCGCCTCCCGGCCACCTCGGCGTGCGTCAACCACGCAGTTTAGGTAACGGGCGTGTGGGGAACAAGTGTCAGATCGGTTAACCTACATGCACATCCGAATTTTAGGTATGCCGAAACAGCAGTATTGAAAATGCAAATCGGCGGTGGACTGCCACTCATAGCAGCTGCCCCTGATGAGCCACCCTTGAGGCCGGGCGGCCGGGACGGGATGATGCGGGCGTCGGGATGGCGGGCACATCCACGGCCGCTTGGGGCCGGGAAGACCAAGGCAGGGGCGGTCGTGACGGAGCGAGCGGAAGCTGGGACCGGTCGAATCGGGAGTTTCCACCCGACCCGCTGCGGTCGCGGGCCGGATGAAGCCCTGCAGTGCGCGCGCAATCGCGCGGCCACCCGGCCCCTCAGGTGACGAGCGCACCCCCGTCGAGCGGCAGCGTCGAGCCGCTGCCACGCCGGGGTTTCGTAATGCTGGCGGCATTGACGCTGCTCTGGGGCGTCAATTGGCCGATGCTCAAGCTCGCGCTCAGCGAGTTGCCGGTACTGACCTTCCGCGGGCTTTGCCTCTTCTGTGCAGGCCTGATCATCATCGGCCTCCACCGGGCGCTCGGACGATCTCTCCGGGTGCCGCGCCACCAATGGCGGCCGCTCCTGGTCTCGGGGTTCTTCAACATCACCGTTTGGCACCTCGCGACCGGCTTCGGGCTCCTCTACACGACCTCGGGCCGAGGCGCGATCATCGCCTACACAATGCCGGTCTGGACCGTGCCGGTGGGCTACGTCGTGCTAGGCGAGCGCCCCGGCTGGCGGCGGCTGAGCGCGCTGGCGCTGGGCTCGGCGGGGCTCGGCGTGTTGATTGCGAGCGACGCCCAGACCCTGGGCGCTACACCGCTCGGGCCCCTGCTGGTGCTGGCGGGCGCCATCGGCTGGGCCTGCGGCACGGTCGCGCTCAAACGCGTCGACTGGGAGGTCTCCATGTGGGTGCTGGTCGGCTGGCAGTGCCTGATCTGCGGTGTGCCGATCTTCGTCGCTGCGGCCGTGGTGGACGCGGATAACTTGACATTCCCGTCGCTCTGGCCGCTCGTCTCGGTAATCTACAATATCCTCGCGCCCTTCGTGATCTGCTACTACCTCTACTATGAGATCGTACGGCTGTTCCCGACCGGGGTGGCGACCGTCGGCACCCTCGGCATTCCCATGATCGGCCTGTTCAGCGGCGCCCTGATCCTGAGCGAGCCGCTGGGCTGGGCCGAGTTCACGGCCCTCGGCTTGGTCATCGCCGCACTCGCGGTGCCGGTGCTGACCCGGCCCGAGAGCTTCCGGCGCGGCGGGTGACGGGCGCGCTTGCGCGCGGCCGGCAGCGTGTGTCGGACGTTCGAAAAGCGGTCCGCCGCCGGGGCCGCCTCTTGAACGGGCGCGGTGGCCGCCCCTATGTTTGTGATTCTTGCGGCCGGCCCCGCGCCGGCCTGTTCGGGAGGCGCGCATGGCAACGACGCACCGCAGCAGGGTCCTGATCATCGGCTCCGGCCCCGCCGGCTATTCCGCAGCGATCTACGCCGCGCGCGCCAATCTGGAGCCAATCATGGTGCAGGGCCTGGAGCCCGGCGGCCAGCTCACCATCACCACCGACGTCGAGAACTATCCAGGCTTCGCCGACATCGTCCAGGGGCCGTGGCTGATGGAGCAGATGGCGGGCCAGGCGCAAGCTGTGGGCACGCGGCTGATCCACGACATAGTAGTCGCCGCGGACTTCAGCAAACGCCCCTTCGTCTGCGCCGGCGATTCCGGCGATTTCTATGTCGGCGACACCGTCATCGTCTGCACCGGCGCGCAGGCGAAGTGGCTGGGCCTCGAAAGCGAGCAGCGCTTCATGGGCTTCGGCGTTTCGGCCTGTGCCACCTGCGATGGCTTCTTCTTCCGCGGCAAGGAGGTCGCGGTGATCGGCGGCGGCAACACCGCCGTGGAGGAGGCACTCTACCTCACCAACCACGCCAGCAGAGTCACCCTCGTCCACCGCCGCGACGCGCTCCGCGCCGAGAAGATTCTGCAGGACCGCCTGTTCCGCAACGACAAGATCGAGATCCTGTGGGACCACGTCCTGGCCGAGATCGAAGGCGAGAGCGATCCGCCGACGGTGATTGGAATCGCAGTGCGCCACGTCGAGACCGATGCGCTGCAGCGGATCCCGCTCTCGGGCGTGTTCATCGCCATCGGGCACCGCCCCAACACCGAGCTCTTCGCCGGCCAGCTCACGATGGACGCCGAGGGCTACATCCAGACGATGGCAGACAGCACGACGACAAACGTGCCGGGCGTATTCGCCGCCGGCGACGTGCAGGACAAGGTATTCCGGCAGGCCGTGACAGCCGCCGGCACCGGCTGCATGGGTGCGCTGGAAGCCGAGAAGTTTCTCGCCGAGGCCGAAATGCCCAGGGCCGCCGCGGCGGAGTGAGCGCCGGCACGGCACCGGGCGAGGCGATGGACTGGAACCGGCTACGCATCTTCCAGACGGTCGCGGAACGCGGCAGCTTCACCCGCGCCGGCGACATTCTGGAGCTCAGCCAGTCGGCGGTAAGCCGGCAGATCGCGGCGCTGGAAAAGAGCCTCGGCGCGGTCCTGTTCCACCGCCATTCGCGCGGCTTGCTGCTGACGGAACAGGGCGAGGCGCTCTACCGTACGGCCCGCGAGGTCTCTGCGAAGCTCGCGATGACCGAGGCGCAGATCGCGGATTCGCGCGACCGGCCCAGCGGCCCGCTGAAGATCACGACGACGGTCGCCTTCGCCTCGGTGTGGCTCACGCCCAGGATCCGCACCTTTCAACAACCTCTATCCGGAGATCAAGCTCATCCTGCTGACATCGGACGATCTGCTCGACCTCTCCATGCGCGAGGCGGACGTGGCAATTCGCATGATCGAGCCGACCGAGCCCGATCTCGTCCGACGGCACCTGATGACGGTCCATTCGTATATCTACGCCGCGCCGGACTATCTCGCCCGGTTCGGGCCGATCGAGACGGCGGACGACCTCGCCCGCCAGCGCCTGATCATCTATGGCCAGGGGCCGCTCACCGCCATCGTCAACCCGGACTGGCTGATCGCGATTTCGGGCGACCCCGGCGCCGACGGCCGCATCGTGCTGGAGGCGAACAACATATATTGCATGCGCGAAGCGGTGGAGAGCGGCCTCGGAATCGCGGCGCTGCCCGACTACGTGATTTGGGGCAGCCAGCGGCTCCAGCGCGTGCTGCCGGAGTATCAGGGGCCCCCCTTCGACGCCTTCTTCACCTACGCCGAGGAGCTGCGATATTCCAAGCGTATCGGGGTCTTCCGCGATTTCCTGCTCGACGAAGTGGCCAAATGGCGCTCCTAGCGCCCGCCCAGCCATGCGTCAGACGCATGGCTGAATTGCTTCTCACCCACTAGCGCAAACGCGTCACAGAACATACATATTGCGCTGCAGCATGGCGCTTGCGTCGTGCTACGAGGATGCCGGGG